ACGCCACTGAGCCCCCAGCGAGGAGACGCGGACAGGACAAACCTGCTGGAGCCACCCCTGCACCGCCCGGACCCACAACCCCGGCGGAGCTCCCAGGCTGCCGGGCACGGAGCGCGGCTCCCCGAGGGCTCCCCGAGCCCCCCCCCCCGGCCTGTCCCGGGCCTCCCGCGGGCCCCGGGCCGGCTCCTCAGTGTCAGGGGGGCCCGGCCCCCAGCGCCACAGCCCCCGGGCCTCACCGCCCGGCCTCGCTCCGAGGCCCGGCGTGGGCTCGGGGCTCAGCCCCGGCGTCCCCCAGCGGGAAGGGCCCGGGGGAGCGGCGCGGAGCCGCCCGGGGCCGGGCCGGTGGCAGCGGGGCGGGCGCGGCCCGCACTCACCTGCGTGTCGGCCGCCATGGCGCCGCTGTGCCCCGGAAGGAGACGGCACTTCCGGGGCGGCCGGCGCACGCGCTGTGAGGCGGGGGGGGGCGTTGCCATGGGGACGGCGCTGCGAGGCGAGCCGAACGCAGGCCGAGTGGAGCCGAACGCCGTCGGGTCGGGCCGAAGGGAACCGAAGGGAGCCGAACTCAGCCGAAAAGGATCCGAACGCAGCCGAAGGGACCCGAACGCCGCCGAATCGAACCGAACCCACCCGAACCCCGCCGCCGAACGGCTCCGAACCTCCCCGAGCCCACCCGAAGGGCTCCGAACCCCCCCCCTGCCGCCCCCACCCCCGCAGGCAGCAGCAGAGGCGCAGGCAGGGTCCAAGAGCCTTTATTGAGCCCCACCACGCCGCTAGTCGAAGAGCCCGAAGCCCATGTCCTCGTCCGACTCCTCCGACTCCTCCTTGGCCGCCTCCTTGGCCGGCGCGGCGGCGCTGGCTGCGGCGGGTGCGGCCGATTCGGCTGCCACTGGGGCGGCCACCACGAAAGCCGAGGGGTCTGCCAGGAAGGCCTTCACCTGCGGGGAGAGAGGGGGAAGTTATAGGGGAAATGTCCCACTGTCCCATGTCCTAGGGGTGGAGGCAGGCAGGGCCCAGCTCGCTCCTCCCATGCCCGAGGTGCCAGCACCCAGGCTGCCCCCTGCACCTCTCGCAGCCCTGGGTGGGCAGGATTATAAGGGGCAGGCTCCTGCCTCCACTGCTCATACCACAGAGCCAAGCGCCCTCCTCAGGACATTCGGCTCTGTCCAGTTCACGCTCAGAGGTAGCTCTGAGTCCTTTCAGGGTTGGTAATGGGCTCGGTGTTTCTGTGCAGCGCTCGCTGCACTTTGAACAAGGCTCTGGGCTGCGGGGCGGACGCTGCCGTTACCTTTTCGGCCAGTGGGAAGGTGTAGTCGGTCTCCACTGCCACTGCCAGGACCCGCTTGTACCCGTTGATGATGGAGTGGGGCACAGAAGCAATGGTCGGGTACCCAATTTGCAGGCAGACGCTGGCAACATTACGAACACCCTGCAAAAAGAGACTCATGTTTTGTGCTGAGAAATAACCGGGATGAGAAACTGTGACAGCCACCTCTGTGCTGTCAACACAAGGCAGGACAGTACGTAGCGTGCACAAGGAACCCAACCCCACTGAATTATAAATCAGGATTTAAACGATTTCAAACACTCGCTGAAATAGCTTCCAGATTGCACAAACACTTCACTGCCTTTACACATTCACTGATCCCACACGCCTCACTTAATGAAATGCCCAGTATGTTTTCCTTTGCTTTAGTCAGAAAAGCCTACACAAGGTGCTCTGTGACTGGGCACTCAGACTCTACAGCCTGCAGAAAACACCAGAACATACGCTTCGTTCTGGGACAGTGCCTGCTGCACGTTTTCCCTCTAGCAGGTAGGCGAAGAGCTGAACCTAACAAACACAAGGCTGAGGCACTGACCTCCAGGAAACGCTTGTGCAAGGTATCCTCGGTGATGTCCAGCACTTCAGGATTGTAAATGCTGCCATTGTCAAAGACCTGCTGGATCACCAACCCGAAGGAGAACGGGGAGATGTTCAGCATGTTCAGCAGGGTGGCTTCGCTGGCACCCACTTTGTCTCCAGTCTTGATGAGCTGCACGTCGCTCTAAAGGAAGAGGAGGAAAATCAGTGAATGTGCACAAAGAAATTCAGGCCAACCAACACAGCAAGGACACAAAGGCACTGATTTCTCATGGCAAGAGATGAAGGAACAAGTGAGCAAAGGTAAAATAGGCTCAGAGTTCTGAGGCTGCTGAACCAGGAGATGAGCAGCGCCTCGATTCCCTTCACTATGGGTAGCTCGTGAATTCCTCTAGAAGAGCTCAGATCTGACAGAGGAATGTAAATCCCTCTCCCCACCCCACTGCATGCCCAAACCAAGCCCTCAGAAGTTCCCAAAGTGAAGCAATCAGGACTGTTCATACAGTGCTTCAGTGTGAATGAGATTTTGGATGATGGTTACGCCTCCTGTTCTTCCACATGAATGCTGGATGAAAGGACAACTCCATGCAGTATCGCAGCAAGGGCCCTTCAATCAGGGAAGGGCTTCAACAGCACCACCACCACACTTGCTCACTAACCAGAATTTCAATGGTTCCTCTGGAAATCTTCGTGGTGATGCCCAAGGCCTGGAAGAAGGAGGTCTTCTCAGGTCCGAGACCGGTGTTCTGGGCTGGCACAGTCACATCACAAGGAGCAATCGCACCAGCACGGGCAGCTGCTGGCACCTGGAGAAAGAAGAAACAAGGTAAGTCAAAAGAACGCCTCTCTCTCAGATCCCCTGTAATGGCATCAACTCCTTCCCAAAATGACCCTGCATGACAGACATCACCCAGGCACACACAAACAAGACAGCAGTGGAAGAGCTACTCAGCTACAGCTGCAGGGGCCTAGTTCCCAATCCCCAAGGACTCCAGGATAATCAGGTACTCCCCCCTTAAAGGTTCAGGTTTCACTTTTCCCTCAGTATTTCCCAGCTCAGGAGACTGCAATGACGGCTCACTCCCCTACCTTGTTGGCCAGCAGCATGTCCCTGATCTCAGCCAGATCCTCCTTGGTGAAAACAAAGCCCACGTTCCCACGGATGTGAGGCAGCAGCCTGAAGGAAAGATGACAACCATCAGTTCCACTCCTCACACATCCCCTCCCAAAGGGAGAACACCCAGGAAGCCGCTCAGAGACCCGGCACCCACTTTTCCAAGGCAGGGTTGTTCTCCAGGTGCCCGCGGATAGCTTTGCGCATCATGGTGTTCTTCCCCATCAGCACCACGGCCTTCCCGCGCAGCGACATCCGGATTTGCTGCATCTGCTTGGATCCCACGTTGTCCGCTCCCACAACGAAGCATTTCGGGTAATCATCCAGCAGTTGCTGCAGGTGACAACAGCCCCGTGTCTGCGGGGCCAGCCCGGGGCAGAGCAGCCCCGAGGCCCCGCAGCGCCCCAAAACCCACCCGGCCCTGCCCGGCCTCCGCTCCCCGACCCCAGGCGGCTCCTCCCGAAGGCCGGGCCGGGCCGCAGCGGCACTCACGATGATTTTCATGAAGTAGTTGGACTTCCACGTAGCCCTGTCTTCCCTGGGCATCGCGGCGGTGCTCCAAGGATCGCCCGGCGGGTTTAAAGACGAGCTGAGGCCTGCGGGAGACGGGCGTGGGTGAGGCGGCTCCGCTCAGCGCCCTCCCCGCCACCAGATCCCGATCCCGGATCCCCGATCCCCGTCCCCGCGGCCCTCAGGGACCCTAACGACCCCCTCAGGCCCCTCTAGGCCCTCCCCGAACCCCCTCAGGGCTCCCCGGGCCCCCCCCGCCCCCCTCTCCCCTGCTCCTACCTCCACGAGGGCTCCGGGAAAGAAAGGCCGGAGGGCGGGCCCGCCTCCTTTTATACCGCAGCTCGCGTCCAATCGCGGCGAGCCACGGGCGGACTCCGCCTCACCCCATTGGTCGGCCGCCAGTCACGGCGGAGCGGCCGCTCCGGTTGGGCGGCGCGCCTGTCACTCACAGGGGCGGCGGGGCGAGCGGGCGCCCCCTGGTGGCCGGAGGAGAAGCCGGCGGGGAAGCCACGCCCACTGAGAGCAAGCCACGCCCACACCGTAACCGCGCAGCGCGGGAATACCTCGGGTGGCCCCACCCCTAGTTGAGGCCACGCCCCCTTCTTGAAACCACGCCCCTCTGTCTGAAGCCACGCCCCCAGCCGAGACCACGCCCCCTCCTGCAGCTGCCCCCAGCGCCCCAGTGCCCGGCCGGGCCGAGGGCAGCGCCTGCCACCCCCCAGCCCCAGCCCCAGCCCCCAGCCCCAGCCCCAGCCCCAGCCCCAGCCCCAGCCCCAGCCCCAGCCCCAGCCCCAGCCCCGTCCCTTCCCTTCCTCCCCCCCAGGGTGCAGGCAGGAGGCTGGGGAAGAGAAGCCGGGGCTCCCGGCGCCCCCACCCCGCAGCAGCTGACCCCACAGCTCCCTCCGAGCTCCCAGAGGGGAGGTGACCCCCAGGCAGCAGGGCACAGCTGATAGGGACACACAAACCACGCCATTAGGTGGCACAGCCACTTGCAGCCCACCCACCGGTGTGAATTTAAATAAGAAAAAATAATAAAAAAAGAAAAAAGAAAAAGGGAAATTAAAAAAAAAAAAAGGAAAAGGGGAAAAAAGGGAAAGAAAAAAAGAAAAAGGGAAAGAAAAAGAAAAAAAAAGTGAAAAGGGAAAAGAAAAAAAAGGAAAAGGGAAAGAAAAAAAAGAAGGGAAAAGAAAAAAAAGAAAAAGTGAAAAGGGAAAAAAAGGGAAAAGAGAAAAAAGGAAAGGGAAAAGAAAAGGGAATGAAGAAAAAGGAAAAGGGAAAGAAAAAAAAGAAAAAAGGAAAAGAAAAGAAAAAAAGGAAAGGGAAAGAAAGAACATAAAATAAAAATTAAAAAAATAAAATAAAAATTAAAAATAAAATAAAAAATAAAATAAAAATAAAAAATTAAAAATAAACAATAAAATGAAAATAAAAATAAAAAATAAAATGGAAGTGGTGGTCCCTGTCCCTGGCCGCAGCCCCTCGCGCCCCCCGCAGAAAGAAGCAGGCGAGGGCCGGTGGGTTTAACACAGCGTCGAGGTTACAAAGGCAGGGGCAGCCCCGCGGGCACGCTGCCCGGCACAGCACAGCTCGAGATATAAAAGGCGCTTTCTTAAAATCACTTCAAAACCAATTTCGGTATAAGAGGATTAAAAGCAAATTAGATATGAATTCAAAATCAGTGTAGAAATCTTATCAAAGGCAGGATACAGTATTCATTTCGATAGTAAAACCAAGTGTGCCTCACACCCCCGCCCCCGGGGACTGGTTATGCCGGTAACAGTCAGTACAAAAGGTTATTGCTCTAGCATCTCTCCGTGGAACACGTTTAACAGGAGCGCAGAAAGGAAATACCGAGGGCTGACAGGTCTCGTTAGCAAAGAGAGGAAGGAGAAAGCATATAAAGGGTGGGTATTTTTTTTTTTTCCCTGGCTTCTTAAACCCCTCCGCTTCTCCCCGACCTTGTGAGGAGGGTGGGTGGGAGAGCTTCGGGCTGGATAATGCAGGCACACCACAGGCACTCGTGGTGAAGGCTGGCCCTGACCTCCCTGCTCCTACAGAAGGGCCGATGCTGCCCTGCTGCCTCTCCTGGGAGCAGCAGGTGAGGGGACTGGGTGCTGAGGGAGGTGCCTGGCCCCGCACGTCCCCCTAGGGGCACGCAGCAGCACACGGAGGGATGGCCGAGGCTTGGAGAGGGCAGGGAATAACAAACTAGGGGAAAAGAAAAAAACAAAAAACAAAAAACACAGTAATACCTTGATTCCTCTTCAAACAAACAACAAAAAAAAAGTGGTATCAACTCCTTACAGTGTAATGGAACTGGAGAGACCCTTGCAGGGTCCTGGCTGCCTGTGCTGAGGCTCCCGGTAAGCCAGGGGTGCCCGCAGCCCCAGGGAGCGGAGGCAGGGTGGTGCTGAGCTCGCGGGGTGCCCTCGCTGTGCCACCGCTCGGGAGCCTCAGACAGGTGTCAGGACAGAGGGCTGTGTTGTCTGCCAGCGTCAGGGTGTGCTCAGAGCGCTGACACGGGCTGAAACGGGCTGAAATGTACTGGCTAAGGCTCCTGCTGCCAGGAGGGGGCTGAGAAGCTCCCTGGTGGAGCCCTCGGGCTAAGCTCAGCTGTCGGTCACACCCAGCTGCACACAGGAGCCAGGGGACTCGCCTCTCTCTGCTGAGACGCAGCAAGGGCATTTCCAGTTTAATGGTCCGTCTCTGGAGCTGCTGCCTCGAGGCAGCAGCAGCAAGCACTACCCCCCACCCCCCACCCGCCCTCTCCCCTGCCTGGGAAGGTTTCGAAATCACAGTAATGTTCAGAGAGACAGAACTGCCCGGGGGGAGGCAGAAAGATGCTTAGCTCCCAGCTAGGACGCCTCTAACAGAAGAGTTTGAGAAAGCAGTTCTGACAGTAGGGCTTGTCGTTCTGTTCTTTGAAGGTTCCTTTGTTGAGCTGCTTGAGGCAGAAGGCACAGACAAAGTGTTCGGGATGAAATTTCTTGCCCATAGCAGTGATGCAGCGTCCTGTGATGGGCTTCTGGCACCCAGAGCACAGCGAGCCGCGACGCTCGTGGTAATGCACCTCGCAGTAGGGCTGCCCGTCATGCTCGAAGAAGCTGCCGTTGATGAATGGGGTGAAACATTCCTGCAGGGGGAGAAAGCACAAGGGGACAGACTCAGTAACAAGCCAGGGATGTGGGAGGCTCCACAAATCTCCTCCACTCCATGGCACGAGCTTTCAACATCATCCTGCTGTCCACAGAGCCGAAGTCTGCCCATCAAGAAGAGTTTCCAAGGATAGACAGAGCCAGAAGCAAGGGAAACAACCACGGTCCTTTCCAGCTGGCTTGTCTCACACAAAGAAAATAGGAGTTACCAGATGCGTTCAGCCAGGACGAAGGAGAGCACTGCTCCTTCTCTCAAGGCAGGAAACGCTGCAGAGCACCTTCCCCTTTTTCTCCTAATCTCACTGCGGCTTCCCCACAATAGGAGGCGGAAGGCAGGGACCAACAAAGGCTTTAATACAGCAAAACCTGATGAACCTGGCACTAGGTCCAGCTGGGAAAATGAGGCACAGTTCCTATTTACAAGTGCTCTCTGGAATGGCTGGTGTTACAGAGGTATGCTTTGTGTAGGATGGGGATTCCACCTGAAATACCTCCACCAGGCATTGGTGCATCCCTACTGGGAGAAACCCCTGGCTCTTTTAGTGCTAATGATTTTGCACAGATGAGGACACGCCAGCCCTGTGCCTGTTGGAGCCCAGCACTCGTCATCGCCCTCAGTACCAGGCAGCAGAGAACATGACAGCACAACCTGCAGCAGAAGCCCCCGTCCTCCCTGCCAGGCTGGGGAGATTCCCCTCCTCGTGCAAGCGGTGAACTGAGGCGATGGCCTGGGGGTGAGCTGAGGATCCTGTCCATGGCAGCAGGAAGGCCCACGGAAGCCAGATCTCCATAACCCTGGTGCTGCTCAGCCCAGGCACCTTCCTCTTCCCCTGGGAGATCACAGGGTCACACGCAGCCAGACCTGTGTGCACACAGCATCCAGCACGCAGGGCCACCGGTGGCTCAACGCTCCATGCTGGGTCACAATCACACCCGCAACCCGCGATTCTGCTGCTGAATCTGGTTTCTTTCCCTTTCTTCCCCACTCTAGGAAAGCCTGGCTTATGTTTGCTCATCTCTTGGGGCCTGTAAGAGTTAATACTCGTGAGGCACTTTGAAAGAGCGCCAAGCATTTAATCTGCAGTATTCCTGCTTATTATGCCTGCTGCATGGAGCCTGCCACTACTTCACTGCTTTGCCTGAACAAGGTCAGTCTCATTAGTTTACGTTGTCAGATGGAGCATGGGAGGAAGAGCCTCAAAATCTGATTGCTGAGGCAAGTGCTTAGAGAGAAGCTTAGCTTATAATTGTTTAAAGGCCACAGCAAATGTCTCTGTTTATCTGTGAGCTGCTGCAGAAGCCTGTAACTGCAGCTGGGAACAGAAAGAGCAAAGCAGCCAGAAAGTTTCACGTAAACCAGGAGAGGAACAAGAAGGTGCTTGGTGCTGACGTGTTTTTATCTGTCTGTACTTCAAGACCCCACAGACGCCTTTGTCTTGATAAGGGACCAGAGGCCTGCAGGGTGGAAAGGACAGGGGTCGTACAGCAGCCCTGTAGGACCTTGGGTTTCTTACCCGACAGACAAAACATTCAGGGTGCCACAGGGTGTTCAAGGCAGAAATGTAGTTTTCCAGGATGGCCCGGGCACAGCCTCCACACTTGGGAGCAAACATGTCGAAGTAGTCCTTGCGGCAGTAGGCTTTGCCGTCCTTCTCATGAAATCCTGCCAAAGGAGAACAAAGAGCATCAGCTCCTGACCTTCACCTATGGCCAGCCAAGCTCTGGAGAAACCAGTGCGGGTAGGATCATCCTTCCCGTCCCCTCACACGCAGCAGGCAGCTGTTCCTCATTCTGCTGCCCTTCCTGTCCCATGCGCACACATGCACATGCATATTTTTCCTCTCCAGAGACTGAGAGAGAGAAAAAAAAAATCCTGGTGGTATCCTTTCTGCATAAACAGCTATTTCCCTTGGAACTTCTGCCTTCAGCAGTTCCCGTCATCTCTCCGGCTGGCCCCCACCAGCAGCTCTGCCTTACACACTTATCTGCAGTTCAGGGAGGAGATTGTTTTCCCCTTGTATGAACCAGTAATACCTTCAGGTCCAAAGAAAGCTCCACACTGGGCACAGAAGAAGTGTTCAGGGTGCCATGTTCTGTCCAAAGCCGTCACCACTTTCTGTTCAGAAGAAGCAAAGCACAATCACGTTAATCATGGGTTCAGCCTGGAGGTGAACAAGGGGGCACTGGGTGGAAGAACACTTTAATGTTGGTGCTGACAACTGCGTGCATTAAAATAGACCGGCCTTCAGAGAGCTGAGTCACTTCTCCTGCCTCTGGCTCATTCAGGCTTTCCCCACAGCACACTTTTACCCTAAAAGGATCTTACACACGGCTTCCTCCCTTACACAGGGCCCCGTCCAGCTCTCAGGGCTAGCGCACTGGTGCCTCTTACTACAGGCTACCAACAGGCAGGAGCTGGGGAATTGTTACCACAATGACAGAGCCACGCTCTGAGGGATTACAGCTCAGTGAAGGTAAGAGGGACTAACCCATCTCATTAATTAAGTTCATTAAGAACTGGACAGGGTCAAGTTGTTTCCCTTTCAGAGCCAGTGCAAAGGAAAAATAGAAGTCACCAAACAAAATCTTTCACCCCGGACACATGGATGGAGTTTTTAAACACTGAGGTCTGCAGCACCTCGTGTCACGGCTTGTACCCCCCCCAAACTCACATCGAGGATGGGCCCGTTGCAGTAGTAGCAGCGAGGGGAGAAGAGGTTGTGATAGTCCTTCTCGCAGTAGGGCTGCCCATCCCGCTCAAAGAAGTTCCGTGACCCGATCTCCTCCTGGCAGTGGGTGCAGACGAAGTGCTCGGGGTGCCAGGTCTTCCCCATGGCTGTAACCACCTGTTGGGAAGACAACTTATGAAGGACACCTCTACCTCGCTCTCCCCTCGGCCACATGACAAGTTACCAGCTGGAGATCAGCAAGAATGACAAGATCTACTACTCAAGTGAGCCCTGGACTGGGGTAGCATGAAAACTGAATTACCTATCATCTCAGGAGAGGGCAGTCCCTCAAGGGCAGGGTAGAGGTCACTGGAGGAGCTTACAGCGTACCTAGCCAGTGGATAAATAGAGTACTTCAGTTTCTCCAGCATCTCCAGTCCCTTCAGCCTCACGAAAAAGCCCTCCCCGTTACGCCCAGCTGCAGCCCAAGCTTCAGCAGAGGGGTGGCACCTTCGACCCACCTGCCCAGCGATCGGCTTCTTGCAGGCTCCGCAGACGCCCTTGGCAACGGTCGCTACTCCCAGCTTGTTCAGGTCAGACTGGAGACTTCCCAGCATGGTGTCCAGCTGGCTGCCAGGTTTGGGGGTTGTGGACGGCGGGGAGCTGCTGCCGGCTTTCCCCTGCGCCATGAACTGCAGGGAAGAGAAAACAGCGGCTGTAAGGCAAGCGGTGCTGCCCTAGCCTGGAAAAGGGCTGCTGTCGCTGCCAGCGGCTCTTCTGCAGACAGGAGATTGCTAGGAGACAGCTATGCTCGCTGCAGAAGCCGGTGAGAGCCAGGATTGAGTACACACACAAATTCTGCCCATGCAGAGGCCCTGGGATGTGTAAGAGCAGAGCTGCGAACTAAGGATCTGCCTTTCCTTTGCTGCACGCAGAGCAGAAGTTACTCGCAGACCCCAAGCAGTCGGTACAGGGCTCTCTAAGCCTCTGCCAAAAATCTCCCTTCACCTCATCAGCTCCTGGCCAGCTGACAAAGCAGAGACGCCAGCCGAGGGCCTCTTCCCCTTGACCTCTCTCTGCTCCTGCACTGCTGCTCGCTGTCATCCTCTCCGACAGAGACCCCTCTCCTCCCCAGGCTCCATCTCCCCCTCAGCCAAAGCACCTCTGCTCCTCCCTTCCCCGCGGCCCCGCTCCGTGCTGAGTCTCCCTCGCCCCATCAGGTGGCTCTCAGCCCACGCCGAAGCCGAGCAAGTGGAAGCAGGAAGGAAACGGTCGGAGTTGGTGTTTACCTACAGAGAGGGCAGTGCCTCCACGGCAGCAGCGTACAGCGAACACTGCCACGTCTGTTGGAAATGCACACGGGTTGCTGGGGAAGGGGATCGGGGAAGGGGATCGCCCGACTGGTCTCAGAGGCAGGTTCTGGAGCTCACAGCACAAGCGGCTCACACCTTCCCAAAGAAGGCCAGGGGGAGAAGCTTTACTTAGGTTTGTAACTTGGGAATCAAGTATGGGTGCTCTTGGGGCACCAAAGCCCCCTTTGCAGGCAAACTGCAATAACGAGGTTGAGATTATCTCAGCTGACTGCACTGCGCTGCGATGCCTACTGCCAGGTTTAGAGACTCAGAAGTCGTCCCTCCCTGAGATGTCAGCCTGGAGCAGGTTTTCTCCTACCAAGAGCACAGATTAAGCACACAGACATCAAATCCATGCCTGCAAACACCCCCCCAGCCTGCTGCCATTGCAGCCGGGGAGCAGGACACACTGAAGCACCTCAGAGCCTGGCAGAAACCCCCCTCCCAGCCCAGGAGCTCTGCTCCTCATCCTGCTCGCGCTTGCAGTCAACCAGTTAACTCAGTGGCAAACCCCAGTTTCCACTTGTTTGCACAAAATTTCAGGCCACACACAATTTTAGCTCCCCATTGGAGCCCAGTGCACGACCTGTCCCCCTCTATTCAGCTATGAGCTCAAGGAGCAGCACACCACACTCCACAAAAAGCATCAGCTCCGCTCCCCACGCTGGGAGCTGCACGTGCACCCCCAGAAGGGCACACCATGCGGACAGAAAGCAGGTCCTGCCTTCTCAGGGCTGGGGGCACCCAGGGGTGCCGGAGCAGCCAGCAGACTGGCACTGCCGACGAGGGGAGGAGCGGAGGTCACCTGCAAAGCACAACAGGTCACGATGCAGAGGCTTGATCCCACCATCTCCTCCCCAAACCCACTGGCACTGGGGACAGCCAGCCACACAGACTAATATAGTAAGACTTGAGATTTTTGGTGTCTTTTTTCATCCCTCTCCCTACTTCAAGGAGAATCACAGCAGGGAGAGCTGAGCCCTAGCTTCAGAGCCACCTTTTTTATCTCAGCGGGAAATAAAGCCAACGTGATCCCTGCTGCACAAAGTGCAGGCAGGAAGCACACGCACCCCAGTGATTATTGCAGACGTGCACTGTGCCAGACAGGCAGAGCTGGGATTGATTTGTTACCAACGGCTCTGCTCTCCTACCACACCTCAGCACCAGCCTTTGCCTCAACATCTACTGAGCCACCAAGCTTGGAGTAGTGGTTGGACTGGACAAGATTGTGCTAAAAAGAAAAAGAAAATAAACAGAAAAGACAAGCCTGCCTGCATCTGTGGGAAGAAAGCCTCATCTTCAGTCTGACAGCCAACAGAAACAACTGTCTTGGTGCTAGGGGTCCAAGGCTGGGGAGAGGAGCGCCCAGGATCTTCAGAAGGAGGGGTGCCCCCACCAGAAAGCTCATGATAATCATCAGCAGAAGTCTCCCACTGGAAGAGAGGCTGGGGAGCCAAGCTGAAGGAGGAGGAGGAGGCCGGAGGAGGAGCAGAGGTAGATGGTGGGTGGGAAGGCTGAGGTGGGAGAGGGAGGAGAGGTGTGGGGCCAGGGACATGAGGGGCAGCAGCGTGAGCAGGGGCTGTCTTTGCAGCTTCTGTGGAAGGCAGGAGCGGGGGAGAGGCTGAAACAGAGACCGTCCTCCTCGGGGGGTGCGGGGACTCTGGAGGGAAAACCACCTAGAAAGACACGGAGGAAGAAGAGAAGTGAATAAAGCCAAAGAGGAACCAACAAGCACCTCCTGCTCCAGGAAGGCTGGGAGCACGGAGCAGGCGATAACCCAGTCTTTACTGCCCGGTGCTCTCCCCCTTCCTCTTCTGAACCTCCTGGGGTTTGCACCCAAGCACGAACAGGACGTCAGCCTCATAACCACGGCCAAGCACAAGTGGGTAAGAACAGAGGCTGCTGGTTTTTACCTTCTTTGTCTAAGGGGAAAAAGCAGCAAAAAAGGAAGGGGCAAGGAACTAGAAAACTTGTTTCTCTGCGTCGCTCTGAGGAGGAGCAGCATCTTCCACTCAGAACTTCCTGCAGAGGCAGGAAACAAAGCTTGCCTCTATGCCAGGCCTCCCAGCATGGCTCCCAGATAATCCCCACGTGGATATTTGATATGCTAACAGCAGCAGACCCTAAACAGATACCACTACCAGGGCCCTCAGGTACTACTCCAATTCCTAAACAAGGAGAACTAGTACCCAAGAGCCAGTTCCCTCTTCAGGTCAGGCAAGGGGGAGCAGGAAAGAGCTAGTTCTTCGTTTTGTCTTGCTTAGGACACTCAGAGTGAACCTGCACCTCCACGCCATGCTGGACAGAGGGGCATGCTGGCATTTCCCAAGACATGCCCCTCCTTTCTACCTTCTCTACTTGCTGTCCACCATTCTGCTCCTCTCCCTGGGGTGTGGCAGTGATTACGACCCCCTCTGTCAGCCAGTCATCCTGGCTTTTCCACTCCTCCTGTTCCTCCTGCTTGGCGATGCCCAGTCTGTCCTGCAGCTCCTCAATCAAGCGATCTTGGGACTCTGACTTGTGAAAGATCGCAGGACCTAGCTTACGCCTTGGAGAGAGGTCCCGATTCATGGGATGCACATTCGAGGTCTCTTTTGTCCTCTTGATTAAAGACTTAATCTAAATGACAAAGGTAACAGTGTCAGCAGAGAAGAGCAAGGTAGGGGCAAGCCTCAAGATGCAACAGCACAAACTCAGGCTATTAGTGACAGCTGTGAGCAGAGCAGGAAGAGTGATGACATTTCTTCCACAATGCCAAAACTCCTTTTGGCACAGCCCAGAACAGTGACTCAGTGCAAGGAAAAACCCCGTAAGGATAATCACTGCAGCCAAAAATAACTATCTAGAAAAGGAAGGGAAAGATTACCCAGCAGGAAGCCAAGATAGGAGGTGCAGCACGACTGCTCCGCAGAGCATTAAAGAACCCTCAGCATCGCAGGGACACGCAGCAGCCTCTCTGTGTCTGCCCTTTGCAGGGAGAAGGACTCTGGGTCAGAGATGGCTGGTGCACAGAGCACACTTGCAGGGCTGGAAGGAACACTGACTGGTCTGGCAACAAGACCTAAAAAGGCTCGAGCAGAGTGGAGGAGCTGCCATCCCAAGTCAGGAACAACCTCCAGAGGCACTGAAGCAGCCCTTCAACTTTTCAGAGGCCATTTGCCTTGTTCCAGTCAGGGAATAAAACTCCCCTTCACAGGGCAGTCCCTGCAGCCTGCCGTGCTCTGTCCTGCTCACCGGCATGCAGAGGAGGCCACAGGACAGAGCAGGGGACCTGACACATCCATGACACGCAGCTGGGCACTGCATGCTGTTAGTGTGGGTGAGCCCAGGCGCTCTCACAGCACACACAAACGTTAGTGAGCTGTCAGCTCAGGCCTGGACTCATCCTGCTCCCGCATTCGTGCGGTGCCTGCCTGGCCCGATGCAGAGATCCTCTCAATGGGTGGCTTTGGAGACGTGCAGCTGATCCCAGTCGGCTTTCCAAGGGTTTTCAGGAGGTTGGGGAGCAACCAGCAGAGCTTGTGAACTGCTCATTTTCCTGCTCTCCTCTGGCTTTGGTCATGGTAGCAGCTCCTGACTTCCGAGGAGTTCTCCCTCTACTCTGCCTCTTCTGGCCCAGATCAGGACAGCCATCTACTTGGATTTCACGTGGAGCTTTTAGCTCTTGTCCTTGCTCCACAACAAATCCCAACTGTTTTTTAGTGTCTGGGAAGATGTCCCGCCGATCCAGGGCCATGACAGAAGGTTCACACACAGGACTCAAAACCTTCTCATGCTTTGCATGTACTTCTGGCAGATGCTCAGCCAGCTCCAGGGCCCAGAGCTCATCTAAAGCTGTTTCCACACTTCTGCCCTGAGAAGGAAGGGCTGAATTATCCCTGAATGCTCCCTGCTGGCCCTGGTCTTTTGCTATCTGCCATTCCCTTGACCAGTATTTGAGATCGGGACACTTGAGATTTTGGGGTCTGTTCTCTGCTCCTTTTTCTCACTCTCTTTTGCCAACTCCAGGCCTTGTGCCTCCACCTCATCAGACCTACACAGAAACTCCATGCTGGAAGCTGGCACGGCCTGGGAAGCCTTTCTAGATGAGTCAGGCTTTCTGCTCAGCCTAACCAAGCCTGCAGAGGTCAACTGCTCCCCACGAGCAGCAGAAGAGACACGCGGAGGGGGCACAGGGACCGTTTGTGGCAAAGAAGGCACGCGTGTAGGAGCAGCAGAATGCCCTGAAGCAGGCAGAGCTACAACGTGACTGCCTTCCCCAGCTGAGGGGGCAGATGTTGGTGCTGCCAAGTCCCCGCTGTGACTCGCAGAAGGGTGTTTGGAAGAGCAAAGCACTGCTAAGCTGTGATGAGAGTCGCTGGAGTCTGCGTCTGCTGAGCTGGGAACCAGTTCTGGGGAGGGCTCAGAAATCAGAGAGATAGTGGAACTAGTCTGCAAGAAAGGAGACAGAAGGAACAAGGAAAAAAAACAAAGACAGAAGAAAGGGAAAAAATAAGCACTGGTATACAGCATTGTAACAACTGGGACCTCTAAATCAAAGAGCCATGTCAGTCCAGAGTCTTACATCAGAGAACGAGGAATGAGAACGAGATATCAAAGAGCAGAACTAACGTGACAGCGTGCTGATCTTTGCATGAGATCACAGGATATGAAGCTCTACAGCCATCAAGGTCCTTTTTCTATGCTGTCCTCCTAAGCAACACCTCGTGCTCACCTACAGCTGTGATGGGGGCACGCGACAGCTGCCAGGAAGCCAGCAACAAACCCAGGAATGCCTGGACTCTGAGTAAAGGTCAGATTAGCAATTTACTCATAGCCAACCATGTAGATTTTACCTTTCGAAGCTGAAAAAAGCAATCAATGAATAGAACAAACCCTGACATTCTTCTTCTTGATACACTAACAGTGTGCTGCAGTTGGTTATGTTCATGCAATGAAAACAAAGCTCCAGGGCAAGCACAGCAAGAACAGATGACATGGGCTTTGTTCTACCCACATCATTAATCTCACCTTGGACGTGACACACGCTGAATCTCAACAAGCCTGGCAGTCGCTCCATGCCCTTGCAAACTCTGCTTTGATTGTGGCCTAAGGGGAACAGGCTAATCTAGCCATCTCCACATTTACATGGTAACAAAATCAGTATTAATTTTAATCCAAAATACACTCTAGCAAGAGTGACTGATACCGAGTTTTTGGTTCTCCTTGACTAGAGGGTGTTTTAAAAACAAAAGATTGTGGATGCTCCTTTCCCTGTTTCCAGTGGCTCCTGGCTGAGCTCTAGGAGACAAGTTGGTATTTCTCCTTTTCCTTACAAAAAGGCAATCAGAACAGCAGGTTAGCCAGGCCAACTTCAGGCCAATGCTGTCCTGCCAGTTTTAAAAACCTTGCCTAAGGATTCCCATATCCAACAGCTATCAAGAGCTGCTCTAATTCTTCACCACACTTTCCAAAGAAGCTTTAAGAAGTTCGATGCTCACATTCTAACGTAGCAGGGCTTTCTAACCTTTCTAAGCCTGTGCACAGTATCTCAGCCTTTACTTACCTTTCTGGGACACTTGCCATGAATTGACAGCTAAAATTAACCAGAACATACACAAAATTTGCCAGAAGGTGGAAAAGACATATACCTTCAGCTGGCCTACGCAGCTACCATCCCAAGGGGTCAGGAGCTGGCAAGCACACAAATCTGTGAAGTCACAGCAGTAGCGCTACAGGGAGACCGCTTGAAAATTGTGGTAGGGAACCACAATTCATCACAGGTTGTTCCTCCTTTCAGGGAGCACAGCAAGATGAGAAGAACTAGCAAGTACACTCCTCAGTTAAAATAACAAGTTAGCCAATATTGCCCTCCTCTGTATTTATACCCCCCAGATATACCCATAAAAGCAACCATTTTTTATGCTAGGGTTCATATTTACTCATTTCTAGACTTTCTAAAATTAAAGCCGGTCATTTTGACAGCAAGACTGTCATTTTGCTCAGAAGCAAGTATTTCCAGCCTATTAAAAACACACAAGCTCTAAATTCAGAGCAAGGTTGCACACACAGCAGTTCACGGCTAAAGGCACCTCACCACGCAGCAAGCAGGCATCGTATTACACAGGAGTGGCAGAGGCTGAAAAACCAAGTGCATTAAGTAATCTCCATGGCCGCTGATGAGCTAGATAACCAAAAATCAAATGGATTCTGTAAGCAAAGAGAATGAGCAACTCATTAAAGTGAGAAAAATGATGATAAAATGTATCAGTCTGTTACAGCAGCTTTTACCCTGGGGTATGAGGGAAATTAAACATCAGTGTTGCCACTTCTCCCACCCCCATCTGCTGGAACTTGCAGTTGAACCAGCTCCAACTAATTGCATACTGGACTCGTTTTTTCTGTCCTATTTCTTGCAGCCCCACACAGGTCTGGCACTCGAACAACAGCCTTTCATCTTGCTCTTTTAGGAAAGACTCCACTTCTCTCCCTTCCATCCTGCCACTGGAACAGACCACAAGTCCATTTTTACAGACAAGCTAACACCACTAGCTGGCACAAATACGGGAGGTAAAAACAAACAAAAAGGACTGAAGGGAAAATGAAGCAACAAGGAGAACAGGAAGAAGGAGAGCAGCTGTTAAAAACAGCCATTATATACAGATGAGACTTACAAAAATCCTAACACTGTGTTTATAGAGCTCAAATCTTAAAATTTTGCTGCATTTCAGTTTGTTAAAGTCCAACCAGAAACTAAGCCAGGGAGGAGGGCAGCATACAGAAAGCAGCTAGGCTGTCATGCAATTTTAATGGAGTTACAGAAAGAATCTCAGGCCTTTTTCCCAAGACTGCAAAGCATTTGAACACCCACACTTAGAAACATCCCCTCTTTGTATCTTGCAAAAAAAAAAAAAGTCAATACTGGGCATGGGTATTCCCAGTTGCCAAGAGCTCACCAAGGAGCAAAAGGCTTGTGACAACAACCACGCCCAGAGTTTGTTTCTGAGCCCTGATAAAAACAGCAGGGGTACGAGGCCCTGGCATTCCCACAGCGTGTAGAAGGAGCAAGGCAAGGTATGCTGCCAGCAGCACAGGTGGGAGCTCTCCAGCCTCTGAACTGTGCCATTTTGCAAACAGATTGAACAGATAGCCGTGGTTATCCTGCACTCTACCTCAGGACCTAATATGGAGAAAAATAAGCAACAGGAAGGTGTCAACGTTTGCAGTCGACTAAATACAAACTACACTATGTCCAGAGCAAACAGTGAGTAACTCGTTGATTCTCACTAAATTGTGTACATGAGTCACAGACCACAGACTGAATTAAATCCCAGCAAGTACAGGGCAAGTAAAGTCCCGTGGAGCATACACGCTGCTTGCTGCTGGGTTCTGAGCTCACACGCTTGGTCAAAACTCCGGGTATTGTAGGGATCTCCATGAAATCCACAGCACACTTTGGAAGTACTCACACGAATGTGGCACAGAGAGAACGACCACCACAAATAACCACAAAGCTGTGTCTGAATGTCCTTTTACTTCTCACAAAGTGTTGCTCAGCTCTGTCTGCCTCGCACCTAAACTCCTGGTAGGAGGAGATGGAGTGCAGCACAGGCAAGAAACACCAAGCACCAGCAGATTCTGCCATGTGAGTAAGGGACTTGCTTAGGATTACAAAGCAAACTTACACGTGCTTGTAAGAAAGGCACACCCAATAATGACAACATACAGAATGTGTTAGGTATTTGCTTCTCCAGCTCTCTCAGAATAAATTCAAGTGAATAATTCAGCAAGGCTTTAAGTGAACCAGCTGAAGGTAGAAAGCAAGAACATTTTTTGCTATGATTGTGGGTAAATGAAATAGCATGAAAATAAACTCCAGTTAATCACTTAGTGTCAGAATGATAGCATACTTCTATGAATAAGAAATGTCTGCGTTTATAAATCATCCAAAGATGTATGCCAAAAATTTCATCAAGATGACCACAGACAAGTTACTCCCCTGCTCATCCTATTATGGGATTTTCTATGTGCCACTCACAACTGAAGCACCGGTAGCAGTTCCTTTCCAGTGCAATAGGTTGACTTGTAAACACAGTTCTGAACACTGTTTGCTATCCTCCACTCCCCAAGAAGCTCAGCCTTTAACTCTTTTTTGAGCTGAACAAGTGATACTGTTTTCAGGTGGAAACCTTTGAAGCCTCCAGCTGTTTGATGCAAAGGCTTTGGTGTTCGTACCACATGCCTTCAAGCCCCTAACACACCTCCTCAGGGAAAGCACATCAGCATAAAAATGCATTCCAGAGGGGGCCATCCCATAGAACAGGAGAGCCTGGTCTCTGTCAATAAGCAGATGGTGTCCCATGCTCCCCTACTTCTTGTTAAGTTGAAGCACAGCAAAATAATTCACCCTGCACTGAGCAGTAACTGAGCTCATTATCTTTGCCAAACACGGACAAACTGCAGGATGGAAGGAAAAACAGACCCCAGAACTGCCTTACCCATGCCAGTGATGAGAATTTATAGAAGTCAAGAACCTACAGCAGCACACAAAGTGCAAATAACCCCAGAGGAACTTTTTCCGAGTAAGGATGAGAGGTAAAGAGGCCATTTGGGAGACCAAATAAGGTCAGCAGACGCGGCCAACAGGCAAGAGACTCTGGACATGGGGAGGGACAAGATGAAGTATAAGTTGTGAAGATGGGGCACCTTAAAGTCGGAGAGGGAGGCCATCAGCTCATCCAGTTCTCGTGTAGCTGAAGAAGCAGATATACGGGTCTGCTGTTGGCTGGCAGTGACGCGCTGGGGGCTGCTCACTTCTCCTTGGCTCACAGTGATTGCAGGGCTGACAAGAAAAAAAAGAAAAAGAGTGCATTTAGGTACAGGGGAGCCCTCCTAGACTGAAAGTCCCACTGTTCCCCCAAAACAAGC